ATAAGGATGGTCCAGGAAAGTCGCAAAACCAACTCTTGGTGGTGCACTGAATTGGAACACCTTAGAAAGATAGCAAGAACAGCTTTTAATAGAGCGAAACGCACCAAACTCAAAGAGGATTGGGATTCTTATCAATCAAATCTCAGAGAGTTTAAAAAAGTCTGCAGACAAAGACAAAGAGCTGCTTGGAGAACCTTCTGTGAGGAAATCGAAGATTTCCCGCAGGCTTCCAGGTTACAAAAAGCGCTCTCAAAGGACCCACATCGGCATGTCGGCATACTAACGAAGGAAGATGGGAACAAAACTTCCAACCTTCGCGAAAGTTCTGAGGTCCTGATGAAAACACACTTTCCCGGTTCTAGTGTCTCAACAGCACCAAACCGGATGGAAGAAACAATCATACCCTCAACAAACGACTGGCATCTCGCCAGAACAATGATTAATGAGGAAAAGGTAAAATGGGCTATATCGTGCTTCACCCCTTTCAAATCACCAGGGCCTGATGGCATATATCCAGCCCTACTGCGGTGGGGACTGGATATCCTTCTGCCGCACCTCGTGGAAATATTCAGAGCCTCTTTGGTTCTGAGATATATTCCTAAGAAGTGGAGAGAGGTACGTGTGGTCTTCATACCAAAACCAGGTAGGATGGACTACACCCTACCAAAGGCTTTCCGACCAATTAGCCTAACATCCTTTCTGTTGAAAACGATGGAGAGGCTATGCGAGAGGTACATAAGGGATAAAGTTCTGGTTCATAACCCACTTCACCCAAATCAACATGCATATACTTCGGGAAGATCCACCGATTCTGCACTGCATCATGTAGTGGGAAGAATTGAAAGATCGTTGGATAATAAAGAATCCACCCTAGGTATATTCATAGACATTGAGGGAGCGTTTGATAAAACCACATTCCCAACTATCACCCAACAGCTCAACGTTAGGAATGTTCCCCTGGCCATAAGCAAATGGATATTTAGTATGCTTTCTAGTAGAGCAATAAGCATAAATGTAGAAGACGTTTCTGCTAGAGGCATGGTTACGAGGGGATGTCCACAGGGAGGGGTGCTATCACCACTACTATGGAACATAGTTCTAGACACCCTGGTTGACCAACTCAACAGCAACGGTTTCTACACAATAGCCTATGCAGACGATATTGCTGTCCTGCAAAGCGGTAAGTTTGAGAACACACTATGTGAGAGATCACAAGTTGCTCTTCGACTAATAGAAACATGGTGCAAGGAACACTCCACTATCTATAAATCCTAAGAAAACAGAGATGGTCCTTTTTACCAGGAAAAGAAGAATCACGGGCTTAATACCCCCAAGGATTCTAAACTACAGTCTAAATTTTTCTGACGAGGTGAAGTACCTTGGTATTACCCTCGACAAGAAATTAACATGGAACTCACACCTAGATGGTAGAGCTAAAAGAGCATATATTGCCTATGAACAGTGTCGACGAACGGTTGGACGCACCTGGGGCCTCACGCCCAGGGTGATCGCCTGGGTCTACACCGCTGTCATTAGGCCAATGCTAACTTACGGAGCTATTAGACATATATGTCAAAGAGGTGGCTTTAGTGACAATGATGCGACTGCGCTCAGCTGGTGCAAACCTTGATGTAGGAATGGGACAATTGAGAACTCGTTTCTGGCGGGGAGAGCTGGATGCGTTACCAGTACTACAGGCAGGCTGCGACTCAATTGAACCAAAGTTCGTCTTTAACAAACCCTACAAAATTGAAACAAGACAGTGTACGGAGACAAACGTGGCAAATGCCTATTGCATATACACCGATGGCTCCAAAATGAAAGAAGGCTCAGGATGCGGGATATACTCCAGATCACTGAACCTAAGAATAAAGTGGGGTATGGGCAAAAATGCCAGTGTACTTCAGACAGAACTAACTGGTATTTCCATAGCCGCAAAAGAGATAACCCAAAAAGGTATAGCAGGGAAAACTATAATGATCTGCACAGATAGCAGACAAGCGCTACTAACCTTGAATAGACCACGTGTCACATCAGGTTTAGTAATGGAGTGTCAAGAGTCATTAACTCAAGCTTCAGATGGTAATACCATCATCCTGAAGTGGGTTAAAGGACACAATAGGAATAAAGGCAACCGCATTGCTGACCAATTATCTAGGAAGGCGGCAGGCCTAAGACTCCTAGGACCTGGGGATCTTTTTGGTTGGTCAACTACAACAATCGCGGAAATTGTCAAATGTCACTCCCATACGCAAACCGTAAAAAGATGGGAAGAAGGGAAAGGATGTAGACTTGCCAAGTTAACACTAAGTAACCTTGAAGAGTCAACATCAAAGAAGTACTTGGGAATGACCAGGAAAAATCTACGTTTGGCAGTTGGTTTTTTAACTGGTCATTGTCAACTAAGCAAACACCTCCACACACTGGGGCTAGTAGACACACCTCTATGTAGGAAGTGTGAACGAGAAGACGAAACTGTAGAGCATGTCCTATGTGAATGCCCAGAGTTATCGTTAATACGAGAGTACGCGTTCGGCGAGTCCTGGCCTACACCTGCCCACATAAGTGAGATGTCTCCTGGTGACTTGTCCACCTTCCTAGAAATGGCAGGATGGACAATGAGCTAAGGGTGACAGCTCCCTGGGAGGATGCACAATGGGTCAATTGTGGCCTAAGTGCTGTGAAACTTAACTCGCCCTCCCTACTCTACAGAAGGAGGATAGCATAGAAGATACAGCTGAAACAAATAGACGGCATCGAAGATATAAGCATATATAATATATAAAGAAGCTCTAGGAAAACGCAAAGTCATACTGAACAAAAGAAACAACAAAATACACCATGGTTCAGAAAAGAAATAAAAGATGGATGTAAAGAGATACCTCCATAATCGAATACAGCCAAAAATAAATGGAAAACTAACACAGTGTATACCAGTACAAAGCGGAGTCAGACAGGGTGACTCGTTAAGCCCACTTCTCTTTAATATAATAATAGACGAAATAATACAAGCAGTACGTAAAGGTCATGGCTACAGAATGGGGAACAAAGAAATCCAAATATTATATTATGCAGACGACGCCGCATTAATCGCCGAGACAGAAGACGAGCTCCAAAGATTAACATTATATCTTCAATACAACAGCTATCTATCTATCTATCTAATTAGCTTTCTTCGGTCCATCTTTGGACATAGGCCTTTCCAATCCTTTTCCATTCTTCTCTGTCAGTCGCTACAGTTATCCACCTAGAGCCCACGTGCTTCTTGATATCACCTGCCCATCTCATTTGGGGCCTTCCTCTGCTTCGATTATATTCCCACGGTCTCCAACTTATAAGAATTTTGTTCCATCGGTCTTCTTTTTGTCTTATAATGTGTTACAACAGCTTAGAAATACAATATGATAATATCAGCATAAAAAAACCAAATGTATGACATCTAAATACTCACTACGGTGTAAAATCGAAATTGATCGGAAAATAATAAAGCAGGCAGCAATTTTTAGATATCTGGGAATAGATATAACTAGTTACCAAGATGAAGAAGAAGTACGACAACAAAGCTTAAAAGCAAGTAAAGCGGCGGGTTCTTTTAATGACACAATCTGGAAGAACAAACCCCTAAGACAAGACACAAAAACAAAAATCTATAAAGCAGCAATTTATATATTTATTAACACGGCGGAGCTAACACTATATTAACATACACGGCGGAGACAAGACCTGACACATCTAAAACGAAACGACTGCTATAAACAAAAGAGATGAAAATACTCTGACGAATAATCAGGGAAAAGTCTGTTGGATAGGGAGAGAGACGAAAACATAAGAAGAGCATGCAATATAGACATGGATGGGTGACAAAACGAAAACAGGAGTGGAACGAACACATCAGTAGAATGGCACAGAATAGAATAGCACGAATAGCACGAGATAAGTCACCAAATGGACGAAGAAGTATTGACAGACCAAGAAAAATATTCAGGAGGTGCGACAATTGAAACAATTTAGGAGGCTAATATTAAAGAAAAAACAGGCTTTAAAGCCTACGTACTAGAAGGTAGTAGAAGAAGAAGAATAATTTCGGACTCTTAACTCAATTAATATATCTATCTATTGATGCACTATGCACTTTTATGTCCTCTCGGTACCTTGACGTATGTTCTTTTGGTACGTAGATTCGATTTTTTGGGGATACCAGTTTTAGTGTTTGTCAGCCTCATTTTGTGTCTCCCATGGATCACACCAGATCGTTGGAAGTTTGTATGGGACAGTGTTTTTGTATATAAATCTAAGGTAACAAACTATTTTTAAAAATTTGAAAAGAAATAATAAGCCAGCGAAGCAAGTAGGTTTGTTAATTTTTTCTAAATAAACATTCATCGTTAATATAAAAAGATTTGCTCTTATGTCAATTTAAAAAGTTGATAATTAAATATAAGTTTTATGTACAGTATTGTTATATTTTAGTTTTTTTTTTAAATAAAATTAACCTTTAATAATTAATTAATAATTCAGCAAAGATGAGTAGTTTTGAGTTGACAGTTAGTACATCTTTTCACACGCACCGAATTTCAAACACATGGCAGCTGGAATCAAATAAGAGTTATAAAAAACATACATAAATACTGAAAACTGCTCCACTTGCTCGAAATGAAACTAGTTTTCCTCCTGCTTACTTGGGAACAACCAATGTCGTGCTCATAAAAACAGACAGGAGGCGCTACTAAAAGCATCACCAAAGTTTACGTCTTTTATCGACACTAACAACAGTTACTATCTTTTGATGGTTAAAAATCTCGATCAATAAATAACTTTAGTACGACTTGTGCCTCTTCAACCTAAAGTAGGTAAAATCAAGAATTTCTCTCAAATCATACACAACATTAACAGACATATAAATACGGACCACTACCGCTAATTAAGACTTTCACTCAAGATAATGTGTTTTGTGTTTTTAATAGCAATAACTCAGAAAGTAAATAATCTAATGTACTAACCCAACTCTGAAATTTATCTGGACGCTTCGGTATGTCGGAGTGATTGAAAGTGCAATTCGCTTCGTCTCTGCCATCCATGCAATCTTTGTCGCCGTCACAAATCCAAGTTTTGTGTATACAACGATTCGTTGGGAGCCCGCAGGACATCTGCGAGTCGTTGCAAGTGTTGTTAGGGCACGAAGATTCATCAGAACCATCGGGACAATCAGATTCTCCGTCGCATTTCCATATTGTGGGAATGCAGGGACCGTTATTACACTGAAATTCGTAATCTAAAACAAATAATTAATTTTTTGTTTGGGTATTGAATGCTATAATTTTTTTTTATTTGTATAAATAACAAAGATCTGTTTATTCGTCTTCCGGGTTTGGACCGTGTCATTTGTGAGTGACCCAAAAGTGGGTTCATCTCGACGTTTCGCTACAATTGTATGTAGCTTCTTCAGGAGAACAAAGAAAAAGAAGACAGGAAGATGGGTAGTTAGCAACGGTAACTCAGTTACTCAACGCAACCAGAGGCGAATACTAACTACCAAGATGGGCATTTGGTCACAGTAACTCAACTACTCAACGCAGCCAGAGGTGAAAACCAAATGCCAGGACAGGGATTCACGTCCAACAGCTCAGAACACTAACGCGTCGAGAGACGGGGAGTGAATCCGACGATTACTCCGCTACCGCTCTATTTATAGTCGCGGTGACCTGTCGTGTCGGGACGTATCGGCACACTCCGTGGCGCAAACGTCAAGAAGCGCGCGCTGGCCAATCATGTGGCTGCATCGTGGTAGCGGGACCGGACGGCGGCTCTAGACTGAGATTCCAGATGGGAGACAAGTAGTATCCTTCCTCTCGATTGATATTATGTGGATTTTTTCGGATCTCTAGAGATTCGCGGATTTTCCTGGAATAAAAGAAGGGGCTCTTAGAAATAATATGGGTTTTTTCGAACAATATGGAATGACCGGTTTCTTGGCAGTGTTCTGCAACTGCAGAATGGGAGAAAAGACCTGATCGAATGCATCTTTGATGCTCTTGAATCCGAATTTTGACGGAACGACCAGTTTCGCCAATATACACAGGTCCACATGAACAAGGAATAGAATAGACACCACAGGAAGATAGGGGCGGTAATGGGTCCTTAGGAGAGGGTAGATATTGTGAGATTTTCTAGGGTGGTCGAAAAGTAGTCCTGATACCTTCTTTGCGAAGAATTTTGCCAATCTTATCAGTGACACTTCGAATATACGGAAGAAAAGCCACACTAGTATTACCCGAAGATTCTGAATTTGTCGTCCTAGGGTGTAAAGGGGGATGTAGATATCGGTGTGTAATATTTTGAATTGTGGACTTGGAGTAACCGTTGGCGACAAGGGTTTTTTGCAGATGGCCAAGTTCTTCTCTAAGGTTGTCAGGTTCAGAAATCGAAATGGCCCGATGGATGAGAGAGTTGATCAAAGAATTCTTTTGGGCAGGATGGTGATGTGATGAAGCATGTAGGTAACGATTCGTGTGAGTCTTTTTTCTATAAACAGAGTGACCCAAACGGCCATTGGGCTTGGAGGTGACTAACACATCGAGAAAGGGAAGGGACCGATTATTTTCTACTTCCATTGTGAATTTTATACTCGGATGTTGTGAGTTAAGATGATCTAGGGAGGAAGAAAGGGTATGTTGACCATGGGGCCAGATGATAAATGTATCATCAACGTAGCGGAACCAGACTTTCGGTTTTAAGGGGTAAGATTCTAGGGCTAAAGACTCAAAGGCTTCCATGAAAATGTCAGCAATGACAGGGGAAAGGGGAGAACCCATTGGTGTTCCAGATATTTGTTTGTAGAAATTGCCTCTAAAAGAAAAATATGTTGAAAGGAGGCATTTTTCCGCAAGATCTGCCAAAACCAAAGACTTGTTATCATTGGTTAAGTGATCTCGCAGAACAACTAGAGAGTCATGTATGGGGATATTGGTAAATAGGGATGATACATCGAAACTGACGAGAATGTCTTGGGGATCGACCGTGAGGGAGCAAATTAAGGTGATGAAATGTGTGGAATTTCGGACATAAGAAGAGGTACGACCAGTATAGGTCTTAAACTGATTCGACAAGTACTTTGCGAGTTTGTAGGTAGGAGAGTTAATCGTGGTCACAATGGGACGAAGAGGTTTTCTTAATGACACAATCTGGAAGAACAAACACCTAAGACAAGACAAAAAAACAAGAGTCGATAAAGCAGGAATTAGACCTATATTAACATACACGGCTGAGACAAGACCTGACACATCTAAAACGAGACGACTGCTAGAAACAACACGATTAAAATACTTCGACGAATATCAAGGGGAAGTCTGTTGGATAGGAAGAGAAGCAAAAACATAAGAAGAGCATGCAATATAGAAGACAGAAATGGATGGGTGACAAAACGAAAACAAAAGTGGAACAAACACATCAGTAGAATGGCGGAGGATAGAATAGTATGAATAGCACGAGATAAGTCACCAAATGGACGAAGAAGTATTGGCAGACCAAGAAAAAGATGGTGCGACAATTTAAACAATTTAGGAAGCTAATATTGAAGAAGAAACAGGCTTTAAAGCCTACAAACTAGAAGGAAGAAGAAGAAGAAGATCAATGTCTTCTACATCAGAAACTTTCTATTCTAATCTCGGCGGCAAAAAAACTACATTAAGTGGCATTTTCACAATCTGAGTCTTCTTCTAACAAAGCTATTAACTCTTTAGTAGTTAGTGCCATCTTCATTTCATATTTCGAGAATTTACTGAAATAAACAAATGCACTGCTATATAAACGCATTCATATGATAATAGTTTAGCTTAATTCATTTTAATTTATATGAACTTCATAATATATTTTCATATTTATATAAACAAATAAACACAAACAAACTTTCAAATTAAGTTAAAAAAAAAGAAATATAACGTTTACAGCACACAGCAATTCTATAAATAGAGAAAGATGTGTACTACTGTGTAATTAAAATTGCAGATTGTTTTTAGTCTAATGAAAAAAAAAATTATTTTCCAAAGTTTTCTGTTTTTTGAAGTTCTGTATTAGTTACTCTCTAATAAGAATAAAATTTTATTTTATTTTGTTAGACAACTATAAAATACCTGTTAAAAGAGACATGATAATTTAATAATTAAATCGGTCTTAGATTTAATTTTTACATAATTACTTATGTGTTTAAATAAATAATTAAAATTTTTTTTGGTACGCCTCTGCAAAATTGATAATTTCAACACGATTTCGTTGGAAAGTTATCGTTAAGGGCTTCGTTAAGTACGATGTTGCCAAGTAATCACCTTCAATTAAAAATTGTTTTAGTATAACTACTTTTGTGTTTCTTTTTTAGGAAGAAAGAGCCTTTGTACTTCATCCACCAGGAGGAGCTTTCGAAGCGGCGTCCATTTTAAATACCTGGAGGTCCTTCTTGTTGTTTTTGTTTGTCCATTTGACCAGGAGATTCATGTAAGTACCCCTTTGTATTTTTGTAGTTGCCCCAATCCAATCCCTTTGTTTCATTCACTAATCCACGACCCCAGCTCTCCAAATAAACCCTGAGTGCCGTTCGCATAAGTTTCTATTTATTTTGGTTGTTTTATCTCTAGCCCAATAATTTCTATCACAATTTTTAACCCCCATAGTAATATTCTATGTGGTAGGCAAAATATTTCGTTACAAATACGTAAACTGATTTTCGAAATTAAATTTAGATTTTTGCTTTAATCTGTGCCTTCTAAGAATTGCAAAGCAAAACAGACGTTGATAAAGATGTTATTAGAGACATGGGGAATCTAAAATTTGCATTCCACAACATATCTCCTCAACTAAGCAAAAATCCTTAGCGAATTGGTTTCTTGTACTCGTTCAGAGTAATCGGAATAAAAAGGAAAAGACAGTTAAGATTTGATTTCACGTATAATGCGTTTATGTAGCCGCTTATACGTATTTCAACCTAATAGGCCTCGCAAAATTAGTTTACGGATTTTAATATCAGATGTCGCAATTTGCGTCCATTCGAAGCCATGTTGAGTTGCTTCCTAAGACAGAAGAGATTTATTTTCACGTTCAGAGCGACTATGAATTGCCGTTCTGATGAGGCCTATTAGGCCGAAATACGTATAATGTTGCCGAGAGGGGGCATTTGGGCCTGTGGGACCCATCGCCGGCTCTTCGGACTTCTTCCTGTCCCCGGAATTTGATCGGGTGTTGACCATCTTTGTTTGTCGCTATCGAAAGGGTTAATAATCGCTACTGGTATAAAGTAACAGTTACCGTGACAAGTATCGGTTATAGGTAACAGTTCCAAGGAACGGTTACGAAATAACGGATCAAAAATAGAAAACAGAACAGGTACAATAATCTAAGTATTCCTTGACTTACGGAAGGAATCAAAATAAATCAAACGGTATAAAAATATAATACAAGGTAAATGCTCCTAAGTGTTTCTTGACTTAGGACAGAAATATAATAGAAAGTGAAAATATGCAAATGTGAGAATAAAATATGGAAATATTTCTAAGTGTTTCTTGACTTACGGAAGAAACGGCTTAGAAAATAAAACATTCAAAGTATAAAAACAAGAAATGCAAAAGGGAAATAGATTATAGAACTATGTCTAAGTGTTTCTTGACTTACGGTAGAAACAACAGAGCAGAAAACAACAAGAGAATATGGTAAATAGATGTACAAATATTTATAAGTGTTTCTTAACTTACGGAAGAACAACTTATAATAGAAACAAGAAAATCAAATACAGAAAAGATGTGAAAATATTGCTAAGTGTTTCTTGACTTACGGAAGAAACAACTCAGCATGAAATGGTAAAATAAAAGAGACAAATATATTAAGAAAATATCTTAGATAAATATCGGAAATAATAATGCAATAATGATTATGAAAATATTTCTAAGTGTTCTTTTGACTTACCGGAAAAGAATGACTTAGGCACACAATAAAATTATCAAGTCAAATATCAGAGAAATATTTCTAAGAGTTCTTTGACTTACCGGAAAGAACTACTTAGACACAAAGTACAAAATCAAATTTATAAAATAGAAAAAAGTAAGATAAATATTTCTAAGTGTTCTTAACTTACGGAAGAACAACTTAGATACAAAATACAAGAAAAATAAACAATCAAAATAATTAAATAAAATATCAAATAATCAGTATATGAACAAATATAAGTCAAAGTAATATTCTAACCTGAAAAGGTCTGAATATACAATAATAAAATATAAATGGTTATCA